AACCAAACCTATGGGAGCATATACGCGATGGCACTCGGCAAGCAGGTGCCATGAATCGTCCCCTGGTGATGTGGTATGAAATCTACTCAAACTTTTCAATCTCAGAATAACTAACATAGAGCCCAATTTTCACTTCTGATACAACTCTTTTGCTTAAGAAAACCTTTCATTGAACACCAATATAGCAGCAGTTCCAGTAAATTTAATGCCTGGTTTCTCTGACAAAACATGTGGCTTCTCAATCTGATGCCATGCTGGATTTGGCAATCTTTCAAAACACAGGCTGTGAGATCAACCAATTTATTTCTTTGGGAAATACCTCTACTTTACCCTGAAAGGCTATGCATGTTTATTTCATGATACCTATGCATCCCATTTACTTTTATGGCTCACTTAAATTCACTGTCTTTTTCTATAAAAAGGCTGTTTTGTTTTTATATTCCCCCTTTACTCATTTGTACTTTAGTAGTAACTTCTGCCCAGAACACTACCAATATGATCAATCCTCAACATATCATTCACTGACCATTCATATTTTGAAGTTAGGGGTTTCAAAATTGACTCTCATGGGTATACATGTCATATTTCAGAAATTAAAAAAAGACAAAATAAAAAGGGTCAACATGAATTAATTGAGCAGGGAATTGAAGCAATGGTCTGCCTGTGTGTCAGTATCCCTTAAAAAAACCCTGAATGACTACAGGCAGTAGTTTGGCCTGAAGATAGTCTCTGATTGACCTGCATGCATGCAAAAATCGCCTTTGAAACCCACCAGTATAAACTCTATTCCTACCAATGCTGGGCTATCAGTCGAGTTTCTTAGTAGCAAGATGGTATTTTCACTTCACAAACATACAGTTACAAAATCTTTTTAGTAGTCATGGATCAAATCATTCCAGTCTCGTTGGTTGTTTATTTGTTTTGGATATTATCCATCATCAATTTCATGATTCATTTCTATGACCACATTTTGATCATTTGTATCTAGTCTATTGAGGATAGTCTATGCCAAGTAAATCAAAATGGTTGGTCCTTTGTCCGTCCTAGCTTCAACAATCCTTTCCACACATAATTATCCTCAGTTTTTCTGACCAACCAAACTCTGATAGCCCTCCACCAAGGTGAGATGCGAAGGGCACCACCAAAGACCCAAATAGAAAATAAACCTTGTGGAAAATAAAAGCAGCCAGATGGCGCATGTTGCAGACAATAGCTGATGGCTTCCTGAGATTCTATTTTTCACTCGCTTAAACAATGGTCTGGATTGAAATGGGAAATTTGAATGCCCTCTGGAAAAGCTTGTGCTTCTTTCATGGGGCGGCTCACCTTTCAACTTAGAAATATTCCAGAGAGTTTCACTCAGTCGAAATGGGCGGCATTTAGAAACCCAAAATACAACATAAGGTTGTCTGCATTTCAAGGTCAAATATAATGCTTGAAATTTGTCTAAAAATGCTTCCCAAAAGCGTTGGAAGGCAGTACAGAGAGGAAGGTTGATTGGCGGGTAAGATGTCGTAATTTCGCATGATTAAGCATTTTCAAACGATGGTATTTGATCGAGGATATTTGATTCTTCGGTTTTCGGTTTAGGAGTTGCAAACCCTTTGTTCAGACGACCGGCTAGTTTACTGGGATCAAGTAAGGCGAGATTGCGATGGAAATGTAATCTGATGTGATAGAGGAAGTCTGTATAAGGACCCAGCGGGCGAGGAATGCCCTTAACATGGGACAAGTTTCCGACTTTGGGCTTTGGAGCTGGATTGCGGCTGAGCAGAGACACGGTGGTGGATGCGACTGATGACGCGTCGTTAGAACTCTCGGCGGCTTTGCGGAGTAAGTCTCGCCGTAATTTTTTGGCATGGGCGGCTTCGATCATCGCTTCTTCCTTGGTCGGGATTTGAGGTGGCTGGCAATATTGATAAGCCCGGACGTACTGTTCACTTAACACTTTTTTCAAGTTTTTCTTCGTCATCTCCGGCAACAGACGCTGGAATTCTTCAATGGCTTGTTGGGCTTGTGCTTCGGATGTACACGGGACGTTCCGCCAAACGGCCGCTGGGATTTTGGCTCTGATATTATTAGTGGGAGTAGCGTCGGAATGAGCGGGCTTTTGCGCAAGCTCAAGTTGGGCAAGCTCTCTTGATATTGTCCGTATTACTTTGTCACGTTTCAAGTCGCGCGCATTGTCGACCAGCTCTATTATTGCCAACGGCGCATGGTCATTCGCTCGATACCCAACGCGGTGAATTCTGGTATATCCGCCGCATCGATTCTCATACCGCTTTGCCAAGTTGTGGAACAAATGTTTTCGTACTTGAACCCAATTCTGTCACATATGTATTTAAATAAATGAATTTAATACTTTGTTAGCGATCGAGTATCACACTGGCAGATACGAATATTTACATACCATCAGGTAAGATTCGGCCTTTCGCTGATAGAAAATGTTTTCCGTACCATATTTAGACCACGTGATGACTCTTTCGGCCAATCTTG